ACGACAACACCTCGTCGCACACCGCCAAGCAAACAATCGACTACTAGGCGATGTCCCCCGACCTCGCACCTTGCGATTTTTATTTATTTCCGCAAAAAAAAAAGAACAACTTCGAGGAAAACGTTTTATGGACGCCGAGGAAGCAGTGGCTGCGATTCAAAATGCCGTCGAAGAGACCTCTAAAGACGAGTGGGCAAAGTGCTTTTCTCAGTGGTTCCAAGGGGGTCATTGTAGAAGCGTGCTCGTCGCGACCCCTGCCAGCCCTTTTCAGGGCTGCAATTCTACTCAGCTGCGCACCCATGTCAACGAGGGTTAGGGCGTCCCCCCAAGGCGACGCACACCAGCTCGTCCCCGTTGGTGTGGAATGCAGCGCGCAAAGCGGCGATGGGGACCGCCACCCGTCACGCACAGCCCGACACGGCGGAAGGTGGAGGACGGAGTGCAGAGTTGGCACGTGGAATGTTAGAGGAGGCATGAGAGATAAGACGAATGAGTTGATCGAAATAATGAAAGAAAGAGAATTAGATGTCGTGTGTATGTCGGAGACCAAACGGAAGGGCAGTGGTACTGAAGAGTTCCCTGGCGGGGCGTTTGCTCTATGGTCCGGAGTCCCGGAGAGCGAGAACGCCTGCCAGGGAGTGGGGGTGCTGCTGTCTTCTCGGTTGGTCGATGTTATGACTGAATATAAGTTTGTGAACTCAAGACTTCTCTGGGTTCGCTTTAAATTGGGACTGACGAAGTTATTCCTTTTGGCTGTTTATGCGCCGGTGGCTTCGTCGTCCAGGGCTGAGCTGGAGGAGTTTTGGGAGAATGTAAGAGAAGTTCTAGATTTGGCTAGGGGAAACGAAAGGATTGTTGTATGTGGTGATTTGAATGGATGGGTTGGTACCGCTCGACCAGGGTACGAGTCGGTACTTGGAAAGTTTGGCGATAAAAGGGTTAATGATGCTGGCAAGCTTATACTGGCGGTATGCAAGGAAAAGGGTCTTCTTGTGACAAACACTATGTTTAATCAGAAGAAAATCCATATGTATACTAGAGAAAGAAAGAATGAGAGAAGTATGATCGATTTGTTCCTGGTGGATGACCGACTGCGAAAACAGGTTATGGATACGCGAGTGTTCAGGGGTGCTGACCTGGGAACGGATCACTATCTAGTGATTACTAGATTTAGGGGTCTGTTCGCGGGTTGGCGCTACCGGACGACAGTGACAGAACCACAGTCGGTCTGTCGCATCCGAAGCTGGAAGCTTCAGGAAGCGGATACTAGGGACAAATATCATGCGAGGGTAGCCGAAAAGCTTGACACCATCGATGGCAGAAACGAATGTGTAGAAAGAACATGGCAGAACCTTAGGGATGGAATGGTAAGTGCAGCGGAAGAAGTGTGTGGAACAATAAAAAGAGGCAGTAGTAAAAGAAGAGATGCATGGTGGAATGATGAAGTGAAAGAAGCTGTAAAGAAGAAGAAGAAAGCATGGTTAGACTACTTGGCCTCTAGTAATGATAAGGATATGAGAGAGAAGATGAAAGAAAGATATAAGCTGCAGAAAGTTCACACGAAAGCATTGATTGAGGAAGTGCGTGAAAGGTGTAGAATGGAAGCGGATGAAAGGTTGTCGCACAACTTTAAGGAGAACTCCAAACTCTTCTGGAAAGAGGTTGGAAGGACCCGAAGTGGTGCGACGGCCTTAAGAATGAACAAAGTGCTTTCGAGAACTAATGACGTCCTCTCAGAAAAATCGGACGTCATGCAGCGATGGAGCGAATTTTATAGAGAAATGTATGCGTGTGATGATCTTAGTGAGGGATCCGGGGATGACGCCGTGACTGGTACGCCAGACCCGGACCTCGATGACACTGAGGTCATCAGTATGAAAGAGATTGAACGTGCGATTCGAAGTTTGAAATGTGGTAAGGCTGCGGGACTAGACAGAGTTACTGCTGAAATGGTCAAGTATGGTGGGCCTCACGTCTGGGACAGCTTTCATCTGCTGTGCAATTTGTGCTGGCGGACGGGGGATGTCCCGGATGATTGGCGATCCGCAGTCATTGTGCCTTTATATAAAGGTAAAGGTTCACATTTTGACTGCGGGTGCTATCGGGCGATCAGCTTGACCAGTTTAGCAAGTAAAGTTTACTCGAAGGTTTTGACACGTAGGATGCAAGAGAAATCGGAAAGATTTCTATGGGAGGCACAATGCGGATTTAGACCTGGAAGAGGATGCACGGATCAAATGTTTTCTCTCCGTATGATCACGGAAAAGCTTCTGGCTGTTAACCAGAAGATTTTCTGTGCTTTTGTGGATCTTGAGAAAGCATTTGATAAGGTTGTAAGGAAGAAAATGTGGGAACTGTTGCCGGGGTATGGTGTGGATGGCCGATTGCTAAGGGCTGTGCAGTCTCTTTACTGTGACTGTAAAGCCTGTGTGCGGGTAGGGCATGACCTGTCACCCATGTTTAGCGTCCAAACGGGCGTAAAACAGGGTTGTGTCATGTCTTCCTGGCTGTTCATACTGTATCTCGACAGCTGTTTACAAAAGCTGAAAGATAGCTGTTTGGGTGTGAAATTGGGTGACATAAAAGTAAATTTTCTGCTGTATGCTGATGATGCAGTGCTTATTGCACCATCAGAGGCAGAACTGCAGGCATTAGTCACGTGTATGAAAGAGGAATGTGAAATTAAAGGTCTCCGTTTGAATGCTAATAAAACTAAGGTTCTGGTATTTGAAAGGGACGAAGAGAGAACGAAGTGTGAAATATGGGTAAATCAGGAATGTCTAGAACAGGTAAATGAAATTGTATACTTGGGGAGTGCTTTTAGCCGGGATGGAAGATGTGATTTAGATGTGGACAGGCGTGTCGCTGCCGGGAACAAAGTCAATGGTGCCCTGACTGCGTTAGTCAAAAGGCAAGGCGTAGCGAAGAGTGCACGCCTTGCAATACATAACGCAGTGTTGGTACCGACTTTGTTATATGGCAGCGAAACCTGGGTATGCCAGAAGAAGCATAAAAGTAAGTTGAATGCAGTGGAGATGCGATCTCTTCGTAAAATGTGCGGCGTTACTATGGCCGACCGAAAGCGAAACGAAGAGATTCGCAATATGGCAGGTTTGAAAGATGACCTTATCACAAAAATTGATAAGGGCGTGCTTCGGTGGTTTGGGCACGTTGAGCGAATGAGTGAAGACCGAATGGTGAAGAAAATATATAGCGCGAAAGTTAATATTAAAAGGTGTCGAGGTAGACCGAGACTAACTTTCGAAGACCATGTGAGCAAATTGCTCGAAGAGGGTAGGGTCAAGAGTACTCGGATACCTAGACGTGCATGTATGAAGAAGATAATGAATCTGAAAGAAGCGAAAGAGATATGTAAGGATCGTGACACTTGGCGATCTGTTCTCTCTGGCTACCCCGTCAGGGATTGTGCGTGAAGATAAATAAATATAAAATATCAGTGGTTCCATCGGATGCAGCGATGTAAATGGACACTATTTTGAAAAGATATAATAAAACTAATAACTTGCTAGTTTGTTCCGTTTTTGATTTTCTAATAACTTTCAGTGTCACCATCGTAAGCTAAAGTGAAAATGGGCTGGCCATATAGCTCGAAGAACCAACAGCCGATGGGGTAGAAAGGTGACCGTATTACAAAACGGAATTTGATTTGGTGAACAAAAAAAAAAACGTTCGCTACACGTCGCTTAACGAAACAAGACTGATACACTAGATATTTCAACAAGATTATAATATGATATGTTTTGGACCATTTCAAGACTAGTTTTAAGTAAACTAAAGAGGAGGAGGTGACAGTGTAGTGGCGGGCTGTGAAGGAATATAATTGATGCAGATGAGAAAATAAGGAGCAACAATGCATTATGCTGACTCGCATGCCGATCGTTGCTGCCACCCATATATTTGTCTTCTTATATTTCGCTTACCGGTACGAGGCTGCTACTCTAGAACCACGGAACTATGGATAACTGTCAGTAAGATTCAGTGTCAATCGGCCTGCTTTATAACTAGCTTGCTGAACCGTTGGGGAAGAAAGGTTTTAGTTGTGTGACAAATTATCTATAAATATTTAAATAGGTACTAATAAAATATATTAACTTTAATTATTTGTATGTTAGCCTTGTTATGTTCGGCGCTAGAGCATCAGTGTAACACTCAATCTATCTCTTTTTTAAAGTCATACCGGTCAAATACAACAAAAGTTTAACTTTTAACAAAAACATCAATGGCATCAGTGAACTCAATATAATAAAATAAATTCCACATTATAGCTTTAGAAGTCGGTGCTAAGACATAGTGTTTCAAAGAATTAATTTTTTTTATAAGATAAGGGTGACAAACGAGGCACACAATCCACATGATGGTAAGTGGTTGCTGCGGCCCATAGACATCTATCCTCTATTACAAATTAAAATGCAGATGCGTTGTCACCCGTGAAGACTAGGTGGAATGCCTCATTTCCAGTAAAACGGGTCTCCGGTTCTCTACACTCACCATACGAAACCCAGCAGCGTTAAGCTGCTATTTTACGCTGGTATTCCGTGAGAGCGTGGTCCTTCCCCGGTCGAGCCGACCCATTCGTGCTACAACTATACTACTAATATAGCTGTAGCATGGCTCTGCCACGTGTAAAGCCATAAAAAAATCTTCGATTTCAGAGGCTATTAAAGTTACAGCCTATATACATCCCACTGCCGGGCACAGGCACAGGCATCCTCTCATTTCCCGTGGGTGTTGTTGAGGCGATAGAGGGAAAAACCAGGAGATGTGCAGCACCGTCTTCCTAATAACAACTACAAAATTAAAAAACTGCAGTTGCCAACACGCCTGCCAAGCGTGGCAACTATGGCAAATATCCCCCATGAGGTCTATGGGATGGCCTATGTTCAGCAGTGGCTAAAGTCCACGTATGCTATAGGTAACGGTGAGTAGGAACTTGTGTCTGTATTTTGAGTTACTTTTAATACATTATATTTTGCCACCAGGGGAGCGACACACTCGAACCTGGTCATCTGTGATCAGAACGGTGAAGTGCTCGGTCAGGCCAAAGGACCAGGGACTAACCACTGGGTTCTGGGCATAGAAAAATGCGCGCAAAGGATAATATCCATGCTCCACGCGGCGAAAGAAAACGCCGGAATACCGCTTGATGTACCGTTGGATTCCCTGGTGAGCTTCATAATTTTATTTTTTTCTTTGTATTATATTGTTACAGTAAAAGAAGTTGCGTTACAGTAAAAATAAGTTTCTTAAAGACCTATTTAGTCATGGGATACAGCATACACGCATACACGCTATGTGTATGCGTAGATATATGGATGTAAAGGAGGCGAGAGAGGTGTGGCAGGATCGCGCCAAATGGAAGTCCGTAGTCTGCCTACCCCTCTGGGTGACAGGCGTGAGTGTTTGTGTGTGTGGAAACAGCAAACTTGTAAAGTTATGCAGAAGATTGGTCTAGAATCTAGATTCATATCCAGGACGCTGTTCGGTACTCCAATTGTTTCTAAACACGCGAATATATTGTCTAAATAGAATACAATCTAGAATAACAATCTTCGAAGGAACCAAATTGACTTCTATTAGTCTCAATTACCAATCCAACCCAGGGCTTGACGCTGTCCGGGTGCGAGCAGGAGAGCAGCAACGCGGAGCTAGCCGCCCGCGTGCTAGAGAAGGACAGCCATAGCTCCCGCGCTATCTACGTCGGATCAGACACGGCCGGGTCGTTGTTCACCGGTGCGCCGAACGGAGGAATGGTTTTAATTGCTGGTATATTGGAGTAAATTTTTCGTGGTATTATTATTTTATATATTTTGTGCTTAGATTTGCAACCGCAGTTTTTTATTTTGTAGTTGCTATTAGGAAGGTGCTGCCTCCCATATACTAGTTTTCCTTCTAGAAAATCATCACTCCATTTATAATCTAAATGGCAACCTGGTCAGTGGTTAGACATGCAGGAAATCGATGGATACAGGTGGCTCAGGACCGTGCTTTGTGGCGTCCCTTGTGGGTGGTGGTTCAGCAGTGCACTTGTGAAAAGCTGTAATGATGCTGATAGATTTCAAGTAATTCTTATTGAAAGTCATTATTTTATTATTGCCACTGGTTCAAAGAAAACCGTCCTTTTTATAGGGTGACAAACGAGCACACAGTCCACCTGATGGTAAGTGGTTGCTGTGGCCCATAGACATCTACATCTATTCTCGATTACGAATCAAAATGCAGATGCGTTATCACCCGTGGAGACTAAGATGGAATGCACGAGGCATTTTCCAGTAAAAAAGGTTTCCGGTTCTCTACAGTCACCATACGAAACACAGCAGTGTTAAGCTGCTATTTCGCGCTGGTATTCTGTGAGAGCGTGGTCCTTCCCCGGTTGAGCCGACCCATTAGTGCTACAACTGTACTACTAATATAGCTGCAGCATGGCTCTACCACGTATGACCTACCTAGGAAGAACCAGCAATAAACCCAGCGGAACTTTTTTCACAAATAAACAGGTTGTACAAACTACTTACAAAACTTATATTATATGAAAGCGACTACCTCATTCTCATTCCGCTTCTCGCTCAGGGACCGTGGTTTGTGGGAAGCCTTTGTTCGTCACTGTGAACTTGTGATGGACTCTAATAATGATTATTATGATTATTAATATTTTTCTGCGGTAGGCATCAACACCGATACTTTCTTCTTTCAAGATCGTTTTTCCTAAGAGCCCACTCGTTTCTAAACAGTCGGCAAACATGGCAAACGGTAAACAAGATTAGTCGTTGAGTCTACCTAAGGTACGTGCCACCATCTAATGAAGACTTCGATAGAATTATCTTAAACTAGAAAAAAAAACATCCTCATTTCGATAGAGAAGTCAGCTGAGTACTGCCACCTGCTTGGCATCGTTTAATTATCTATACAAATAAATAAAATTGAACTGTCTGTTTGTAATGTCAAAATAACAGTTTTTTACTAAATGCATATGAAAGTATGATATAAGATAAGTACTTATACATAACAAAAACACAATTTTTAAAAAAATTTGGTAATCTCCGGAATCACTGGACCGATTTTGACGGGAATTTCACTGGCAGATAGCTGATGTTATAAGGAGTAACTTCTATTTTGTTTTTTGAAAAAGAATCAGGGTTCCGCGCAAAAAAAAATGAAAACACATGAAATCCAATCGTAATAAATTACACGCGGGCGAAGTCGCGAGGAACAGCTAGTTAAAACTAAATTCAAGATTTCAAGATACAATAAGCTCATTGTAAAGCGGACAAAAATTAATACGTGGTAGAGCCATGCTGTAGCTATATTATGGTTGTAGTACGAATGGGCCGGCTCTATCGGAGCAAGACCACGCTAAGTATACAAAGTCGTAATTTGGCATAGTTACAGATATAAATCACGCCTACAAAGTTGTGAAATAAAGTCTTGATAAAAAAGGTTTCTGATCAAGAAGGCCCCATCAAAGTTCACGTGTTGTGACGGGCAACTAAGGAACCCTACCTCTAAATTGTATGTGGTTCGACTTTTTTATATTCTGTGCCCGACACGCACTTGGCCGGTTTTTTTAAAATTATTTTTAGTTGTCATCAAGCCGCTGCTTCCACCTCTAGGTTTTTTTCCATGTGTCGCCTCTTACGACACCCACGGGACGGTTTGGGGTAGTGGATATTCTTACACCATTCCCATTATTCTACAATTCCATCGATTAAATCAAATTTATTTGGTATTTAAAAAAAATTGCAAAATACAATTAGTCACTTATAAAGTTGATGCTATATTATATAAATATGAATTGATTATTGTGCTGAACGTTGCAAAATATAACGGAATGACGCCAGCCACAGTATTCAGGGCGCGAGATAACTTCCGACCCTTGAGTCTTGACTTTTGCATTCCTGATGTGATCTAGACCGACTGTAAACAAGCGTGAAGTAACAGATTATTGCTGATGTGTTTCGTATGTTGAGTGTAGAGGACCGGGAACCCATTTTACTGAAAATGAGGCATTCCATCTTAGTCCTCAGGGGTGACAAAAAATGTGCATTTTGATTCTTAAACGGCGATAGATATAGATGGCTATGGTCCACAAAATCCACTTACCATAAGGTGGTCTTTGTGCTCATTTGTAACCCAATTTTCTTTAAAAAAAGACTAGTTGTTTAACTTCTCTTGAGTTTGCGCGGTTTTTATCAGGCACTCCTACTGGATCATAGATTCGCGGATTAAACGAAGGATTGCTGATTTATACTGCAACAATATCGTTTAGTTTTGACGTAACAGAATCCGTAATCCTATTTATTTCGATGACTAATTAACAGCATAACACAATAATAATAAAAATAATTAACGTACAGATGCACTGGGCAGTGTGTTTGTGCCCTTACATTATATGCACAACACTTACTAATAATGAATATGCTGTACCATTTAGATATAGAACCACGTTGAAATTAACAATAAAAAATGAATACCAGTAGGTATTTTCTTTAATAAAAAATGAAGTCGCATACGACATTATAATCCTGATAGTAAATGGCTGCTGCAATACATGGACACCTGCATGCAACTTCTGACAACGGCTACGGATGCGTTGTTACCCCCGAGGATTGCTTTGTTTCCAGTAAAAAAAAAAACAGTCTCCGGTTCTCTACACTCACTATACTAAAAAACAAGCATTCTACGGTGGATTTCTGTGAGAGCGTGGTCCCACACCGGTCGAGCTGACCCATTCGCTCTAAAACGACAATATAGCTGCAGTTTGGTACTACTAATTTTAATATGTTTATTATTCATTCAAAATAATTGAGGGTATCAGTACTTTTTAGTTTTATTGTACCAAAGATAATGATTCTATTCTTTGACACAATTTCAGGGCAAGCACCTGCACACAATGAGAATAGTCGATAAGATATAGTTGGGGGAAGTTTGCGAATTTGAAGTAGTACGAGTAAATTTCAGAGATGTCTTTTGTCTGTTTGTCACTTTTTTCCAAATAGACAGACAGATAGACAGCTAGACGAAAATCGAAAAATCTTCCAATGGCATGAGCCCAATAAAAGGCAGTTACTTCGATATCACAGCCATACGCTTCAATTTATATGTATAGATGGATCATATTTACCAGTAATAGTAAGTTGATGAACTAGCACGCAGTTCACCTGATGATGAGTGGATGCTGTGGGCCATAGAGATCTACATTTATCTTCGATTAAGAACCAAAATGCAGATGCCTTGTCATCCCTGAGGACTAAGATAGAACGGTACGTTTCCAGTAAAAATGGTTTCCGGTTCTCTATATTCGCCATACGAAACACAGCAACATTAAACTGCTACTTTACGCTGGTTCTGGTGGTCCCTCCCCGGTTGAGTAGACTCATTCGTGATAAACCATAACATAGCTGCAGCGTGGCTCTACCACACACATAGGCTTTTGGATCATACATTAGACTGTATTGACTTAATTGACACAGTATCCACTTACCACCAGGTAAACCTGGTGGTAAGTGGATACTGTGGCAATTAAACATCTACATCTATCCTTGATTAAGAATCAAAATGCAGATTTTGTGCCACCCCTGAGGACTAAGATGGACCGTCTTGTTTCCAGTAAAAAGGGTCTCCGGTACTCTACACTCACCATGACAAAACACAGCAGCTAAGAGCTAATATTTTACGATGAAATTATGTGAGAGCGTGGTTCTTTTCCGGTCGAGCTGACCCATTCGTGCTACAACCATAACATAGCTGCAGCGTGGCTCTACCGCATATATAGGCTATTGAATCATATATCTTAATCGCCATATTTAACCGGCGGATTGCCGTCTGACTGACTGTTCAACGTATGGTGTGTATATGAAATGGTTATACTTCCATATGTACCGTGTAGTGGCGGTGTAAGAATATCCACTAGCCCATATAGTCCCGTGGTTGTCGTAAGAGGTGACAGAGGGAAACTGAAAATAGAGATAGGCAGCAGCATCCTCCTGATAACAATTCCTAATAATCAAAAACTGCGGTTGACAACCCGCCAGCCACGCGTGGCAACTATGGTAAAATCCCGGCTATAAGACCCTAGCACTATGTTCAGCAGATGACTTCTGAAGGCTGTAATGAATGAATACTGCCATCTATCCGAAGTTATAACATTTTTCAAATATTCGTCGTCACCCAATGTCATCATTATAAAAATATATTTAGGCCAAATCAAATCGTGATGCTAAAAATTTAATAAAAAGCTGGTCAAGTGGGAGTGGGACACGTGCATGAAGGGTTCCGTATCATCCTAAAACACGCTTTTAGTAGGGGAGCCATCTTTAATTATTATTATTTATTGTTATAGTGGCAACCGAAATACACAGTCTGTGAAAATTTCAACTGTCTACTTATTACGGATCATGAGATAGGTACAGTCCCCTGACAGACAGACGGACGGACAGCGGAGGCTTAGTAATAGGTTACGAAACCCTGAAAAGTAATTTCTCGCTTTTAAGAAATGCCCTTTTGTCGGTGACTGCGAAATTTGTGAATCTAAAAACCTCTATTAAATAAGAAATTAAAAAAAAAACCCGGAACAAAAAGAACTGATAATTGAACAGATTTTCTTGAATCATAGCTAAGAATACTTGAATCTTGATCAAGTCCCCTTACAACAGAATAGAATAGAATGATTTTTATTCAATATGGATTATTACATGATACTTATTGAAAGTCATTATTTTATTTACCACTGGTTCGGAAAATACCTCTTTCCTGAGAAGAACCAGTAAGAAACCCAGTGGGACTATTATTTAAACATAATTTCACTTAACAATAATTTTGTTTATACAATTTTAAATGAATTTTCATAGAACCAGCATGGTGGCGATCACCTTATTCCCGGGGGTTATTTTCATTCATGTATTCCTTGATATTATAATAACCCTTTTTGTACAGTTTTGCTTTAATAAAACTTTTAAACTTGTTTATTGACAAACTTTGAACATGTTCTGGGATTCTGTTGTAAAAGCGTATACATTGCCCCATAAATGAATTACTAATTCTGTGGAGTCTAGTAAGTGGCATTACAAGCTTATGTTTGTTCCTAGTGTTTAAGGTATGAACATCCTTATTCTTGTTAAAGCTATTTATGTTTTTATGTACATACATTACATTTTTATAAATATATTGAAATGCCAAAGTTAATATGTTTATTTCTTTAAAATTTTCTCTGAGGGACTCTTTACAATTTAGGTTTTAAATCGCCCGTACGGCTCTCTTTTGCAAAACAAATATAGCTTCAATATCAGTCGCATTACCCCATAGCAAAATTCCATAAGACATTACGCTATGAAAGTAACTAAAATACACTAACCTAGCTGTCTCAACATCTGTGAGACTTCTAATCTTTCTTACAGCATATGCTGCAGAACAACCAAAAATAACTAAATCAAAATAGGTTCGTCCGTTTGGGCGCCACGATACCACAGATACAAACGTTAAAGTTATAACACGCCTCTGTTTTCATCGGAGGTTAATTATAATCGTCGGTGCTTCCATAATTGATCACGCAATTTCTAAACAACTTGGACGATGGATCTCATATTCACACAATATTGTATTTGTTTTGAGAATAAGGTTCATATCTATGTTAGGATTCGATAGGTAACGCTGTAGTCAAGTTCTTATCAAATTTTTAACATTTTTGACGTAGTAGAGCAACGCTGCAGCTATATTAGTGGTAGCACGAATGGGTCGGCTCGACCGGGATAGGGCTACGCCCTCACAGCATACCAGGGTAAAATAGTTTAAGGCTGCTGTGTTGCGTATGGTGAGTGTAGAGAACCGGAGAACCTTTTTACTGGGAACGACGTATTCCATCTTAGTACTCAGGGGTGACAACGCATCTGCACTTTGATTCTTAATCGGGGATAGATGTAGATGTCTATGGGCCACAGCAACCACTTACCACCAAGTGGACTACGTGCTCATTTGTGAGTCTTATTCTATAAAAAGAAAATTTTTATGGACTAAAATAATTCATATTCACTATATTATGTTGATTTAATGCCAAAAGGACCCGATGACCACAGTGCCATTTGCATTGTCTTAAAAACTTGCCAAGAATCATAAAAAGAAACAAGATTTTCTACGGGTCATGCCGCATAAAAATATAAATGGATCTAAAAGAACCAGATACCTAAGGTCACCTGCTTACAAGGAATCGGAAATAATTATAATTCAATGTCGATTCATAATATTTACATATTAAAAAAAATCGTTTTTTTAATAATTAAATAATTTAAAATGCACTGTAGTTTAGTAGGAATGCGTTCACTTTTTAATAAGATCTTGCTAACGTTTATGGAACCCTTACTGTTTCGTTGTCTGTCTTCCTGTCCAAGTGAATATTGACTCTGATCGATATTCGACCATTTAATTAATTGGTTTTAAGCGTTTTATATGACAGGATCATGAGGTGTGTTAAAGGTTACATCCTATTATATCATATATTACATCATATTTTATAGATACTCGTAGTACAAACAATATAATGTCCAATCCATGTACTACAATTAGTTTTATATAAGCCAAGTTTATTATTATTATTATTATGGGGTATTTGTATAGTTTTCTCATCTGGTTGGGCTGTATAAATATATAATTGAAAATGAAAATGATAAACTTACATAAATATCAATAAAATAAAATAAATACATAAAAATTACATAAATATATAAAAACCCAACCAGATGGAAGCCCTCGGCAGGGGAGACCAAACGGCCGAGGGTTAGGGGGAAAGAGAGAAACCGGCGGATGATGCGGGCGGTATCGAAGAGGTGCGCCTTCTGCATTTGAGCTTGGAGCGGTCCGTCACAGATTCCTAGTCGCCTCAGACGACCCGGGAGGCTGACTGGGACTAGCCCGTTCGCAGAAACGAGTAGGGGGAAATGGGGCAGATTGATGCATAAAATTTCAGTCACTTTTAAGTACTTAAATAACGTTAAAATATATTTTTGTTATGTTTTCTGCATTACTATATTTATACGTGGTAGAGCCATGATGCAGCTATTTTAGTAGTATAGTTATAGCACGAATGGGTCGGCTCGACCGGGGAAGGACCACGCTTTCACAGAATACCAGCGTAAAATAGCAGCTTAATGCTGCTTTGTTTCGTATGGTGAGTGTAGAGAACCGGAGACCCTTTTTACTAGAAAAGAGGCATTCCATCTTAGTCCTCACGGGTGACAACGCATCTGCATTTTGATTCTCACTCGAGGATAGATGTAGATGTCTTTGGGCCGCAGCAACCACTTACCATCAGGTGGACTGTGTGCTCGTTTGTCACCCTATCCTATAAAAAAAGTGTGTCGAACCTATACACCTGCATACACAAAACAATATTGCTTTATAATATTTCGCACATTTTCACAACTATCTTTTTAGTTTTAAATTTTTTGAAATTTTTTATCTATGAAGTATATAAGTTATAATTTAAAAAGAAACAATAACTACATTTTCTCACCAATTTCACTTCCCACTCAATGAAATCTGTTAAATATTTCACCTCTTTCCTAAATGGCACCACCCTGGTGGCAGAAAAAGTCATCATAATTCTTCCCTTTTCATTCCAGGGTGATTTTAACATTACAGGAACGGGCTCCAATGCATTACTTCGGACTCCGGATGGCAAGCAACACGGCTGCGGAGGCTGGGGCTACCTTTTAGGAGATGAAGGTGGAGGTAGGAAATAGATGTAGTTATTTTATTCCGTTTGTGCTTTTCATATGTTGCCACCCTAATATAAAATATCTTACTGTCAGTACGTATACTGGCTTCCTTTTTTGTGACAAAGGAACTTCAGTCCAGTTGTTGGCTACTGCAGTCCGTGGATACCTTTTTTTTTTGTATTGGATAGGGTGACAAATGAGTACACAGTCAACCTGATAGTAAGTGGTTGCTCTGATCCATAGACATCTACATATATCTTCAATAAATAATCAAAATGCAGATGAGTCGTCACCCGTGAGGACTATGATGGAATGCCTCGTTTCCAGTAAAATGGGTCGCCGGTTCTCTACACTCAACATACGAAACACAGCAGTATCAAGCTGCCATTTTACGCTGGTATTTTGTGAGAGCGTGGTCCTTCCCTGGCTCTACCACGTATGATAGCTGCAGCCAGCTTCAAACAATGAAAGCTACAGATGCGTTGTCACCTTTGAGGACTGAGATGGGATGCAACACAGCCTGTATAGCCTGTAATAATTATACTGGCTCTCTGCAAGTGTTGCGCGCACGCACTACTGATGTTGGTAGAAATAGGTAAGAGGGTTGGTATCGTCCCAGACGTACTCGTACGTAAACAAAGGAGTCCTACCACTTAGTATACACCCCTCTTAACCATCAAATGCTCAGTTTTGCAACACATTTATAACCCTTAATTTTTCATATTTTTTTTGTTTTGTTGTGTAATATTCTTTATTAAAAAACGTTACCCCACACTAGGATTTTCTCCTGTGTCGTGGAGGCAGTTTACAAACATAAATTGCACAAGGACAAACATCCAGATCCGGAACAATTATTTGTAGGCCATACAAATACTTGTTCCCTGCGGGATTCAAACCCGCGGCCCCCAGCGCAACAACTGATTGCTAAGCCACTGCGCCACGGAGCCGTCAAACGTCTTTACATAGTTTAAAACAAAGTCGCTTCACGCCGTCTGTACGCTTAGATTTATTTGAACTACGCAACGGATTTCGATGTGGTTATCATCAATAGACAGAATGATTCAAGAGGAAGGTTTATATGGATAATACATGCTTCTTATATATACAAATAAATAAAATTGAAGTGTCTGTTTGTAATATCAAAATTACAGTTTTTTACTAAATGCATATGAAAGTAAATACGGTACTTATAACTAAAATACAATTTTTAATTTTTTTTTCTGTCTGTTCGTCTGTCTGTTTGTCTGTCTGTCTGTCTGTCTGTTTGTTCCGGCTAATCTCCGAAACGGCTGAACCGATTTTGACGGGACTTTCACTAGTAGATATCTGATTTCATAAGGAGTAACTTAGGCTACTTTTATTTTAGAAAAATAATTAGGGTTCTGCACAAAAACACAAATATTATATAAATCTTCTATCCGTGTGTATGTGATTGAACTCCTCGTAAACGGTTGGACTGATTTCGATGAAATGTGTGTGATTAAGTTGATTAGGGAATGGTTTAGATTCACAATTGGACCCGGTAGGGGGCGTTGTTGTCGAGATCCAGAAATCGTGCGAAGCCGGTGCGGAGCGCTAGTATTATTATAGAACATGCTTTGATTACTTATAGGTCTATTAGAATATCATATCGGTTTTAAAAAATGACAAACATGCTTAAAAAAACCTGACGACGTTAAAAATTACTATTATGACCTATTATATGATTTTATTAGAACAGCTTTATTATTAAGCTTTGAAAATTTAAGCGAGAATGGTTACTAACCAATTTTGTATATATATCCTAGATGGTCATTCATATTAAAAAAAAAATTAATAAACCTAAATATAATTTTAAAAGCCTATTCAATGATAACCCACTTGACATAGTAGAAAAGAAATAAATGAAAGACTATGTCAACTTTTTCATTTATTTCTTTTTCACAATATGGCGTCTGATTGTCGCTATTGTCGAATATTGAATTTTGATTACTCGCATGTCTTTAGTGACACTCACAAGATTAAGAGAAATCGATTCACGTAAGAATGATCGAATTCGGCCTATGCTTTTGGTTTTGACAGTACCACAAAAGAAGATACATACATACGTAAAAAACAGCATACCTGTGGAATTTCTATCGCCGGATATAGGAATCTCGTTTGGAAACAGTACTACATTATAAATAAAACATTGACAATCGAAATTTTAATCACGTAATAAATACGTCGAGGTTGCGGTTGAGTTTGCAATGTTTATGTTTCTTATTCTTTCAAAATCCGACCACAGTAGTGGTTGAAATATTGCTTGGTTGCCACAGAATACATAATGGTTCAGGTACATCATCATCATCATTACAGCCCTTCACAAGTCCACTGCTGAACATAGGCCTCCCCCAAAGAATGCCACAAAGCACGGTCCTGAGCCACCTGCATCCATCGACTTCCTGCATGTCTTACCAGGTCGTCACTCCATCTCGTGAGGGGACGCCCTACACTTCGCCTACCGGTACGAGGCTGCCACTCGAGAACCTTTCTTCCCCATCGGTTGTCGGTTCTTCGAGCTATATGGCCGGCCCACTGTCACTTCAGCTTACTAATCCGTTGGGCTATGTCGGTCACTCTGGTTCTACTGCGGATATCCTCATTCCTAAGTTTATCACGCAGAGAAACTCCGAGCATAGCCCTCTCCATAGCTCGCTGAGCGACCTTGAGCTTCCTCATACGGCCAGCAGTGAAGGACCACGTCTCAGTTCCGTAAGTCATCACTGGCAACACGCACCGGTTGTACAATTTCGTTTTAAGGTTTTGAGGTATGTCTGACGAGAAGATGTGTCGTAGCTTCCCGAACGCTGCCCAGCCGAGTTGAATCCGTCGATTGACCTCTCGGTCGAAGTTGGACTTACCTAGTCGGACTATTTGTCCCAGGTAAACATACTCGTCAACAACTTCGAGCTTAGTGCTCCCAACGACTACCGGCATAGGTGTGACATGGACATTAAACATGATCTTTGTTTTGTCCATGTTCATCTTAAGACCTATCCGTTGGGAAACACTATTGAGGTCATCGAGCATAGTGCTTAGGCCCTCCAGCGATTCTGCCATAAGGACTATATCGTCGGCAAATCGAAGGTGAGTGATGTACTCGCCATTGATGTTGATACCGTATCCTTTCCAGTCCAGAAGCTTGAAAACGTCTTCCAATGCAGCGGTGAAGAGTTTCGGGGATATGACGTCACCCTGTCTTACACCTCTCTGCAATTGGATAGGTTTCGTACTCTGGTGCTGTACTCGGATAGCCATCGTAGCCCTACTGTACAAGCACTTCAACACTTCGATATACCGACAGTCAACTTGGCACCGCTGAAGGGACTGCAGCACCGCCCAAATTTCGACGGAATCAAAGGCTTTCTCATAGTCCACATACGCCAGACATAGTGGCAAATTGTACTCTTCGGACTTCTGTACAACTTGCCGAAGGGTATGTATGTGGTCTATGGTGCTAAAGCCCTTTCGGAAACCGGCTTGTTCGGGAGGCTGGAAGTCGTCAAGTCTGCGCGCGAGACGATTCGTAATGACTCTCGAAAACAGCACGTAGACGCGGCTCAGAAGGGAAATCGGTCTGTAGTTCTTCAAGAGAGCGTTGTCACCTTTCTTGAAGAACAAGACCACCGCACTTCTGCTCCACGCCTCCGGTGTAATGCCACCATGGAGGACGGATGGTTCAGGTACATATGCTGACAATCATACTGGGCATCTATGGTGCGCAGTGGCTCAGCAACGAGTTGCGCTGCTGAAAGCCGCGGCTTCGAATCCCGCACGGAACAAGTATTTATATAGCGTCAACGACACAATGTTTATTGCAATATACTAATTAATTTTTTTTTTCTTATGTTTGATATGTTGAAACCGGTATGGGTGAACGAGAACTGTGATATTTTATAAAAACCTACACATTCATACTCTCACAACACACACGCACACACACACACACACACACACACACACACACACACACACACACACACATGCACGCAGGCTCGCACACATGATTTTGTTAAAATTCAGAATTAATCCATTTCAGGTAATATGTAAATTTTATTAAAAATTGATTATTGTTTTACCTCATATTTCACTCTAAACTGATGTTAATATTAATTGTTTTTATGAGTATTTTGCCAAATTGTCTTCACAAGCACAATTAAGTATAATATGTAGTATAGTAAGGAAGAGCGGGGTCACCTGGCACAAGTAATTATTATTACTTAATAGGTTGATCCCAACCTCTGTTTACAATTATAAACCACTGTGTTGTGAAATAAAGATATTTTGATTTTGATTTTTGATAGCGTACAAATAATTATTCCGAGTCTGGATGTTTGCCCTTGTGAAATTTATATACCTATGTAAACTGCCCCCACGGTACACGAGATAATCCTAGTGTGCGTGTAACGTTTAAAAAAAAGTTCTTCAAATTAATAAAGTGTTTCCAAAGGTGCTTAAATAGTTTATCTAACGTGATCTATATCTTTAAACAATAATTCTAAGTTATTTATTTTAATAAAAAATTCTAACTCCTATGTTTCTGTTACCGACAGTTACATTGTTATATCGTTTAACACATACTCGTAGTATCAAATTCTTGGAACTAGAAAAGATTTCAAAAGTCACGTAGTTGTCATAAATAGTATTTTTTTAAACACTGAATACAACAAAGAGATAGATAATAAACTAACGAATTTTGAAAATATCTTTACTGCCATATTGGAACGTCTTCTGTGTCGTGGAGGCATTTTGCATACTTACTTGGTCCAATTGGGAGCAATTACTCGTTGCCCAGTAGAGTAGAGTGTTGGCTATTCTCTGTAATTTCACGGTACTCGAGCAACCCGGATTCGACCTCCGCCGATACCGGTTAAATGATTAATTTAAATGGACTGGTCGTCACTGCTGGTGATAAGAGGGCTGGTTCTCTTCGCTCAAAGGCTTAAGTAATAGTCATTCAGCGAAGAAACGCAGCCAGCGTTCTTGACACTGGATTAAGACTGTATGATGTTTTTCTTTTTATAATGGTAAGAGAAATATTGTATATATTTGAATGTTATGTATCAAGAAATAAATTTTAAATGCTGATTTACCATGTGCTTAGCGCTGAAGGAATACATCGTGAGGAAACCTTGATGTCTGAGGAACAAAATATTTCAAGGACATGTGGAGTCTGCTTACTCGCGCAGGAGGTGGGGTAATTGTTTTATTTTAAATAGAATAAAGGTGACAAACGGGCACAGACTAGGCCGCAGCAGATTTAACGTGGCTTTACCACGTTAAAACTGATGATGCCATTAACTTATCTTCTTTCCAGCTTATTGGATCGCTCATCGGGCGGTGAAGTACGTGTTTGATGATGTGGATGGCTTGCGTGCCTCCCCCCATCCTACGGAAAGAGTGTGGGAGGCCATCCGGGAGCATTTCAACGCGGACTCCAGAGCCGATTTGTTGCCACACGCCTACAAGCATTTCGACAAGTCACATTTTGCTGGTGAGACTTTTGTGTTGCTCACTAATTTGATATTTTAGTAGATAAATTGCCTCCATATATTAGGAAACCGACTTCTGTTGCTAATTGCTACCTTCAAGAGAATGGTATCCGATCACTTCTGCAACATTACTGCTTTTCCTTTGGTTGATATTTTGTTTCTTTTTTATAGAATAAGGGTAATAAACGAGTATACAGTCCACCTGATGCAAAGTGGATGCTGTGGCCCATAGACATCTACATCTATCCTCGATTAAAATCAAAATGCAGATGCGTTGTCACCTCTGAGGACTAAGATGGAATGCCTCTTTTCCAGTAAAAAGAATCTTCGGTTCTCTCATGGAATATAAAAATTAAGAGGAAGTAGCAAAACGCATAGTTTGTACCAAAACCAATGTCGCCAATCTCACACATTCGCACGAACGAAATGTGTAATGACAATTGTACACCATTTCAATAATTTTCGCGTGATTGGCTAATAAAAAATAGAAGAGAAAGGATTTATGTTACTCACCATTCACTTGAATACGAATCATAAGTTCTTAACAATAGAGATTATATTCCTTTTCATAAACGAAGTTTCTAGAATTAATAAGCAAATTTAGCTTCTTAACGTCGGATGTCGCAGTGATACCGCGATTATTTAAAATACACCATAAATTCCTACTAATAGATACGATTGTGCCTTAATGCTAAAAGCTTCTAAGATTGACGAAAAAAATTTGCTTCGTGATGCTAGATGTCGCAATAATAAATTTACGCTATTATAGGCACAATACACATTAACTTAACGTTGACTTTGCCCTACATAAACTATACAGCTTGAACAACGTGAATGATGCTAGTGATGTGGTTACTCTGCCTGAACATGATCCGACTTAACATTCTGTTCTGCAGAGTGCGGGCCAGCTCCAATATTATTTTGAAAATTATAGGAGACAAATTGGACTGTCCTCTCCTCCGGCATTGCTGCGACAGACATGTCCCAGTAATTGTGGGAGCGAGAAGGTACTAATAATAATTATGTGTAATTTGTATTTATTGTCATCATCATCATCATCATCATTATCATCATTATCATCATCATTACATGCCTTAACAAGTCCACTGCTGAACATAGGCCTGCCCCAAGGAATGCCACAAAGCACGTTCCTGAGCCACATGCATCTATCGACTTCCTGCGTGTCTTACCAGGTCGTCACTACATCTAGTGGGGGGACGCCCTACACTTCGTCAGCCGGTACGAGGTCGCCACTCGAGAACCTTTTTTCCAAATCGGTTGTCGGTTCTTCGAGCTATATGGCCGGTCCACCGCCACTTCAGCCTACTCCTAATCCGTTGGGATATGTCGGTGACTCTGGTTCTACTGCGGATATCCTCATTTCTAAGTTTATCACGCAGAGAATCCCCGAGTGTAGCCCTCTCCATAGCTCGCTGAGCGACCTTGAGCTTCCTCATAATGTGAATGACCACGTCTCAGTAACATAGGTCATCACTGGCAACACGCACTGGTTGTTCAGTCACGTTCTCAAGTTTTGAGATATACCCGACGAGAAGATGTACCGTAATTTCCCGAGCATGTGACAAAATGAGTTAAATAGCAAAATTTATTGTAAATTGCCTTGATGTACTACTATATACTGTATATACTGTATAGTGCTCGGCGGTGAAGGAAAACATCGTGAGGAAACCTGCATGTCTGAGAAATAAGAAAAACAATTTTTCGAAGACAAGTGAAGTTCGCCAACACGCATTGGGGCAGCGCGGCGGACATTTCCTTGCCCTAAAATCCTCTCAGAAATGAGAGGAGGCCTGTGCCCAGCAGTAGGACGAAAATAGGCTGCAACTTTACTTTACTTTTATTACGTATGGGATATACGTGATAGAACGTTATTCCTATAGCCGGCATTTATAATTAATTGTATTCATGGAAATTTATTAACAGTGAGCTAAATTATTATTTTTGAAATGTAAATGAGGAGAATAATAAAAAACAATGATTTTGCAATTGTTTATTGTCATTAAAACAACACATATTTATTTGTAAATTGTTGCTTTCACACTTTAATATTTAATTTTAGACGACAATGAATTCGGATACTAATGTCATCATACATATGTCATCATCATAAATCATTTAAATAGAAAAATCCAATAAAACTAGTATAACGGATTTTATCGTGTATATTAAACTTATTTTATATTCCCGACGTTTCGAGTACTTTACAGCACCCATGGTCATGGGGGGGGGGGGACTGAGGTGTTTTACGTCCCAATGATAGTTAATCACGGCTACCTACAGATTAATAATTATTAATTTTTGTTCCGATCTACGCAGTATGAGCTTACAGTATCAAGTCTTGCAGTTGTATGCTTGGGTTGGGATTTAATTTTATTAATTATGGGATCCCAAGCAGATGGTAGCACACAGCCATCTTCTCTATTGAAACTAGGATGTTGTTCCAATAGCCTCTCGAATCATCCTTGGAAGGAATCGGTGTTCTTTGGCGAGGATTTGTGGTCTATCAAATCTAATGTAGAGACGGGAGCGATCCTGTACGTGTTCACAGACTTCCCGAAGCGTCGATTCTTCACATCAGCTATGTGTTCTTTAACGCGGGTTTTTATTGATATTTTAGTTTGTCCTATATAAGAGAGACCACATTCGCAATCAAGCTTGTACACTTCTGCATCTTGCAGAGGGAGACTGATGATAAAAACTGACTAATCTTCATCGGCGGCTTGAAGAATGTTTTAATGGAAGCACGCTTCAAGATGTAGCCAATCTTGTCAGTGACACCTCTGACACTCGCTCGACTGTTACTGGTTTCACTCGTTCACTGTGACGTAAACGCGGGACCCGAAGCTTATTGTCGTGCAAAACTTGATTGACGTGTTGGAGTTCGGCGGTCAGGTGTTTACTGTCACAGATCCCTCGTGCTCTCTGAAACAAAGATTTACCCACGGTAAATGTAAAGGTAAAACTGTAAAGGATGGTGATGACAATCACCGTTTACATATCAATCTATATGGGTCTTTTTTCTATCAGTCAGTGTGGCTCAAGGTGTTACCAGGATTCCGAATTAGTAACACATCTAGAAGAACTAAAGAATTGTTTGCCTCTAACTCCATTGTGAACTGAATTTTAGAACTTATGGAGTTAAGATGGTATAAAAATGCAGTTACTTTATCTAAAGGTAGAACTGTGAAAGTGTCGTCTACGTACCGCTTGTCCGACACTTCTCGACATTTGTAATATAGTCAATCTGATATTTTGTCCATGTTTAATCACATTTCTAGGTAAAAAAGAAAAAATTTCACGTACCTTTGATACGAAGCACCCCCATTCCAATTATTATTCTTTTTTTCTTTCGTTTTTACATTTTAGTACCTATTGCACAAAAAGGCATATTTTCGCATATATCACTTAAACAGCGAGCTGTTAGCTTGCGACAATTTGAGCCTGCGACTGACAGTCAATTACGCTCTTGAGCTGCTATTACACGCTTGAATTCTGTGAGAGCGTGGTCCTTCCCTGGTTGAACCTACCCATTCGTGCTACAATCATAATATAGCTGTAGCGAGGCAGCGTTACGGATTACCAGGGGGTTGTGACAGTACTCTATAATCCGACAAACTCCGAGCCAACTGTAGTCCCAGTGTTTAACCGAGTCCACTAATGAACATAAGCTTCCCCCCAGATTGCTTACATGGGGGATAATTGAAATAGTTGGCGCCTTGCAGGCTGGTTATCAACTGTAGTTTCTTATTATCATGAAGATACTGCTGCCCATCTTCTGTTCCAGATCCCGCTGTCGTATCTCACGATAGCCCGCGTGACGATAAAGGTTGTGGATTTTTTCATTCAATATAGATTATATATAATACTTATTGAAAGTCACTCTTTTGTTTAATTAGCACTGGTTCGGAAAAAAACCTCTGTCCTGGGAAGAAAGAGCTAGAAACCCAGCAGGACTTTTTTTTAAATAGCTTCCGATCATGTATTTTACACAATTTACATCATAACAAATTAGAAATGGCTTGATAGCGACACCTCATTCCCAGGGTTTATTAGCATATAACATACCTTTTTATACAAACTTAGTTTAATAAAGTTTTTGAACTTTGAGCAGGTCAAATTTTGTATATTTTCTGGAATTTTGTTGTAAAAGCGTACACATCGCCCCAAGAATGAATTACTGACTCGGTGGAGTCGAGTAACTGGTACTACTAGCTTGTGTCTGTTCCTAGTATTTACATAATGAATATCACTTATTTTTTAAAACTATTTTTATTTTTGTGTACGCACATTACATTTTCATAAATGTACAAAAATTTAAGGAAACTAATATAATATATTACTTTCCTTAAATTTTTGTCGCATCTACTCTTTAGGCTTTAAATATTAAATTGATCTTATAGCCCTCTTCTTAAAAAAATATAAATTCAGTGTCATCTGTATGTCCCCATAGCAAAATACCATACGACATTATGCTATGGACATAGCTAATCTAAACTAGTCTAGCTGTTTCAACACTGGTAAGATTTCTAATCTTTTTTACAGCATATGCTGCAGAACTAAGTCTGCTTGCTAGTTTTGATATATGGAGCCTCCATTGAAGCTTCGCGTCTAGTGTGATTTCAAGAATAATGGTGGTATAGAGAAGACTCAGTTCCTCCCCATTTAAAATTACATTAACATTTAATTCTTTGACATTTTGAGTTATGAAATTCATACATTTCAATTTCAACCAATTTATTTTAGAAATTGTAGTCTTAATTTGAAAATTAAAGAAGTGTCATCAGCAAATAATACTATATCATGGTTATCACCTACTATGTAAGGTAAGTCATTAATGTATACAAGAAACAGAAAGGGGCCGAGCATTGAGCCTTGAGGCACGCCCATTTGTACCATTGACCTGGAAGAGCTCATACTATTAATGACAAGTTTTTGCGTTCTCTTACTTAAATATGAAATAATTAATTAAAGAGCATCACTT